CACCTCAACAGCACATTTAATCTGGAACAGGGAGTGAGGAAGGGAGTCCAGGAACATGCTAGCACAGAAATGTGGAAACCTCTTTGACACTATTTATTGGTTGGGGCCTTTTTTCTGCATCGCAGGTTTGGTCCAAACCCCACAGGCAGGGCCGCATTATGACTTTTGTGGGCCCCTCCCACCATAATAATATCAATATGAAAAATTATTTTTGTTATAACTTTAAATACTTCAGCATTTTATTTTTTTTCTGTTTTAGGCAAAATGTAATAGATTTTCGTGGGCCCTAAAAGTTTCATTTTTTTCTGATGTGAGAAAAAAATTAAAACATTTTCTTCGACCCTAAAAGTTCATTTTTTTTCTTCTGATTTTAAAAGAAATTAAAACATTTTCGTGGGTCCCTAAAAGTATCATGGGCCCTAGGCACTGTGCCTACTGTGCCTAATGGATAAGTTGGTCCTGCCCAAAGGAGTTTTCCTGCTTGCATACGGATGCAGCCTTGTTTTTGGAGATGATCTGACACTACTCAAAACAGATGAAGTTCAGAAACTGAGTTCAGCTTGGCCTCCAGGCAGATGAGTCAGGCTTTCACTCGGGCTCTGCCGATCGTCGCTCCGACATGCTCTCTCATTAACCGAGTCTTGTAAATGGGCAGAGCTCCAGTGAAGCTGAGCTTGCTCACATCCGGGTGTATGTTTGGCTCACAGCTGAGAACAATTTTGCTGTCCAAGCCACTTTGCTTTTGTGGTGGTCAGCTACTTCCTTCCTGGTCCTTGTGCAACAGCAAACTCTTCTGTGTCGCGTCTGTTGGTGGAATGAAAGATACTCTCTCACCCAGCTTGTCTGTAAACATTTATCAGCACAAGCAACCAAAGCGCCTTCTGAGGGAAAACAACAGGAGTCTCCCTTTATAGCTCTCTACCATTTGCCTCCCCACCAAAAGGTTTTTCTATCCCTCTAGGACCGTGGTGTCCAACCAGTTGTGAGGCAGTAGTGGCTACTGCTTTAGCAAACTAGCTGCATTGTTCTGAAAATGTAAATAGTTTTGTGAGCCAACTAGCTGCCCTCAACCAGCCAAATAGCCCCGTGGCTGGTGTGTTTGGACACCACGGCTTTAGGATCTCCACCAGGAGACTAGTTAAGTCAATGGAAGCACCCTTCCATCAGCCTCGCTGCTTCTACGCTAGGGATTAGATCGGCACGGGAGCAGTACTCGGGCGTATGGAGTTTTTGCCCACCTGAGCACCAGGACTATGTCAACCTAAGTTTTTAAGTGCAGGCCAGGCTGCAATGCCTTGACTCCAGGACTGGGCCTGTCACAGAAAGACAAACCCCAGCCCGATATCATAAACCTCGTGATGTAAGTCCAAGCATGGGCCACGTTGTCCCTTTGCACTGGGGACTGGTCTGCACCCAACTCTGTGCACGCTGCATTGGAGATGTGGTTTTTAAACTGGCTGATTTAAGTGGGTGCAAATCCCTGTGTGGACGCTCTGATTTTGCATGAGAAGCGGGGTTTGATTGGGAACTGGTTGAAGCTAAGCTGCAGTAAGCCCCAGTTAGCATTCATATAGGGGTCTGTACCTTGTGATGGGGTTTGCAGGCCCCATGTCGAATGGGGCCAAACAACAGGGTTACGTCTACATTGGCATCCCTTTCCGGAAAAGGGATGCTAATGAGACGGGTCGCAATTGCAAATCCTCAGGGGATTTAAATATCCCCCGCGGCATTTGCATTTACATGGCTGCCGCTTTTTCCCGGCTCAGGGATAAGCCGGAGAAAAGCGCCAGTCTAGACGGGATTCTCCGGAAAATAAGCCCTTTCAAGTAGGAATAAGAAATCCACCAGAAAAGGGCTTATTTTCTGGAGAATCACGTCTAGACTGGCGCTTTTCTCCGGCTTATCCCAGAGCCGGGAAAAAGTGGCAGCCATGTAAATGCAAATACCGCGGGGGATATTTAAATATCCCCCGCGGATTTGCAATTGCGACCCGTCTCATTAGCATCCCTTTTCCGGAAAGGGATGCCAGTGTAGACGTAGCCCAGAGGAATACTGGGGCTCTGAGACGCTGGGCATGTTCCCAGTGGAAGGGCAGCTCCAAAAGGACACTGGTACCACAAGCAAGTGGAGAAATGAGCTCTACGTGGCACCGGGCAGATGCTGAGAGAGGCAACTGCTTTGTGAAGGCTGCTTTCCCATCAGGGACTTGGATTCGCCCTCTTCTTTGAGAGCAGAAACCCAGCAAGAAACTGACTGACCCGAAGAGAGCAAGAGGAGTCTGCAAAGCCAGTGACTTTGAGACACCCCTCGTTCCAGAGGAGGCTGCAAGGGGGGCAGCTCCAAGGCAGAGTCCAGGAGCAGCAGGACAAAATGGGCTGGTCATAGAACCATAGAGCTGGAAGAGACCTCAGGAGGTCATCGAGTCCAGCCCCCTGCCCAAGGCAGGACCGATCCCTCTGGTAATAGAGGCCAGAGCTGGGCCCCCTCTGGGAGGATTCGACTGGCAGAACCAGTACAGGGATGAGCCAGCTGGTCACCAGCCCTTTCTGCTCAGATAAATTGGGTTATGGGCTTACTTAAATTAAGCCCCTGCTCAACTTGTGTGTCTGAACGAGCCCTTGGTTTAGAACCCCCCCCCCTTTTACCCTATGCATCGGGCCTGAGCCAAGCTAAGCCCCCAGTTTTAACTTATACATGGTGCCCATCTGCCCGAGGGCAGGCCGCAGGGCTCTGCTAGCCAGGCCCTGTCCCTGAGAGCCATCCTCCTTTGACTCCAGCCTGCTCGCTGGTTTGGTTTGGTTTGCTTGTGTGGGATTCTAGAGAGAGCCCTGAGCCTGCTGTAGCCATGACATCCAGGCCACGCTGTCTGCCGCCAGCCTGAGACAGTCGCTCCGAGGAGACGTGAACTTCCCCCTTCCTATCCATCATGACCCAGAAACCGCGGGGGGGTTGGTGCAAAACACAAACCAAACCTCCCGTGACAGGCAGGCGCAGAGCCGAGGGCGACTGGCTTGGGCATGCACTCGGGCATTGCACTAGGGTGTAGATTTTCTTGTTGAGCTTAGAAAATTGGAGGGGGGGGGCGGAGCTGTTCCCCTTTGGGCTCAGACGTGGCTGTTTTTAGCACCAAGCTTAAGGCTGTAACTTGGCCTCTGAGACCTGCTGCCTTTTCGCAACTGATGGGAAATGTCAGTGTTCTTAGCCCTTTCACTACTGATAAAAGCCTGTCCCCGGGGCAGCCTGCCCCTCTGACGGAAAGCCACACGCCACGCCGGGGAAGGGTTTCTCAGAGCGGTGCCATAGGAGGGCGCAGCGCTACCCAGCGTGGCCATTTCATCCCTCGTTGTCCCCTGTTGATTTAGACCACGGGGCCGGGAATTTGATAAATGCTTCGGGCGAGCTCGGTCCCAGGGTGCGGTTTGGTTTTCAATTAAAAAGCTTTAAAATGAAAAGCTTCCTTTCGAGCAGACCCATTGAGTCATTCCTCCCGGGCCCCTGCTGCCACCCGCCCAGACCAAGCCACTGATGGAATGGATCTGGAAAGGCAGGTTCAAAGTGGAGATGATGAGGGGGCTGGAGCGCACGATTTACAAGGAGAAGCTGAAGGATTTGGGCTTATTTAGTCTACAGAAGAGAAGAGTGAGGGGGGATTGAGAGCTGCCTTCAACTACGTGAGGGGGGTTCCAAAGAGGATGGAGAGAGACTGTTCACAGTGGGGACAGATGACAGAAGGAGGAGCAATGGTTTCAAATAGCAGTGCGGGAGGTCTAGGTTGGATATTAGAAAATACTATTTCACTAGGAGGGTGGGGAAGCACTGGGCTGGGTTCCTTAGGGAGGTGGTAGAATCTCTATCCCTAGAGGTGTTTAAGTCCCGGCTTGACAAAGCCCTGGCTGGGTTGATTTGGGGTACATCTAGACTACAGAGGTGTCCCGGAAAAGCTCTGCTGCCGTCCAAGGAACATGTCTGCTTTTCTGAAAAATTTGTTGGAAAAGTGAACGCATTTTTTCGGCATCCCTGTAAACCTCGTTTTCCGAGGAAGAAGGGATGCGCTGAAAGAGGATTTTTTTCCCGACATTTGGCCCCTTGTAGACAGGCCAAATGTTGGAAAAGCCTCTGGCAGAAGAAAAGTGGGAAAAGATATACAGATTGCGGTTTGCGTATCTGTTTCCAACTTTTCTTTGTAGTGTGGACACAGCCTTAGTTGGGGTTGGTCCTGCTTTGGGCAGGGGTTGGATTCGATGACTCCTGAGGTCTCTTCCAGCCCTAGGATTCTACTATGCATTGAAAGGAGATGCAGCCCTTAGTACTGACACATCCCTGCATCTATAATGCATGAGTCAGGCCCCCCAAAATTATGAGCTTGGCTTCAAAGGCGGCGAGGAGTCCTGTGGCACCTTATAGACTAACTGAAGTGTTGGAGCATAAGCTTTCATGGGCAAAGACCCACTTCGTCAGATGCATGCACCCATGAAGTGGGTCTTTGCCCATGGAAGCTTATGCTCCTACACTTCAGTTAGTCTATAAGGTGCCACAGGACTCCTCGCCGCTTTTGCAGATTCAGACTAACACGGCGACCCCTCTGATACTTGGCTTCAAAGGGTGAATTATTTTTAATTGCTTTTATTGGGTGTCTGGTGTGGGGGTTGACTTATCTCTTCTAGGCACCATCCCAGGGTTAAAACATCCTTCTATAAACAAGGCTGATCTTTCTCTATCTGCCTTCCCCCGGGTTTAAAAATAAATCACACACACACACACACCCCTTGGAGACTGAATTCCTCTCTGGTTCATGCACAGCTCACACCTCTATCCCCTGCCCCCTCGGCATCTCTCTGCCCCCTCGCACCCACCAGCCTCGCTCTGGCTCCAGCTGCTGTCCCAGCCCCTTTTCCGCCCGGGGCGACCCTACAATAACAAACAGAAAACTGCGCCCTGCGTGCTGCCGGGCGGGCGGGGCCACAGCGCCAAGCGCGGCCGGGCTGAGGGCAAAGCCGCCCGCCCGCGGGGAGGGGCGAAGGGATCCAGCCAGCCGCGGGCTGTTGCATCAGCGGGGGGAGCGGCCGCCCCGTCTCCCCCGGCCCCGCAGCCCGCCTGGCGGGGGCGCCTATAAGAGGCGGGGAGCGGTGGCGGTAGCAGCAGTATCGCGGCGCCGGTCTCCTGCGCGGCCGGGCTCGGTGAGTGGGGGCCGCGGGCGCCACGTGTTCCAGCCCCGGGGCCGCTTGTAACGCGCTGCCCTGGAGGGGGAGAGCCGGGGCCGGGCCATCCCTGCCCGCTGGCTCCGGAGCGCCCGGGGGAGCCTCCCCAAGGCCGGCTGCGTCTGGCCCGTCCCCGTCCCCTCTGGGCGGGGGCTCTGCGGGGCCCGGCGCTGGCATCTCGCTCGCTGGCGGAGAAGAAAGTTGCAGGGGCCCCGCGCATCGTGCGCCCGGGTCTCGCCCTTTCCCGGCTTAGAAACTTGGGCGGGCTGGGGAAGGCGCCGCCGTCTCTTGTGAGCGGCCCCGGTAGCGCTGCGGTGCCTGGTGGGGCCAAGGCCGGGGGGTGCCTGGCCCCTCCCAGCAGACGAGGCCCCTGCGGCGTGTGTCTGTCCGCAGATTTGCGTCCCTGTCTCGGGGAGGGAAGCCCCTTCCCTGCGCGCACAAAGGCGTCCCTGCTGCCTGCCCGGCCAGTGTTCCAGGCTGCTTGGTTGTGGCTTTTTTAACAACCAAGGGGGCTGGTGGGGCTGGCCCGGGCTGGATGCTCCCCTCTACCTCCCTTCCAACATGGAAATACGATGTTTTAAAAAGGAAATGGCGCCAAAGCCCCAACCCCGCAGCGGAACGGAAACGGTGCACAATCATAACTGTGCATCTGCTGAGACGCTGTTACCGATGTCGTGGGACCGAAGCTGCCTGCTCTCCCATGTGCCTCCTGGGAGGACCATGCCGGGTTTTTCCCCTGCTCTCCCTATGGGCAGAGTCCACCTTGTTCTGGGACCGCGCTTGTAACTTTGGGGCTTGTTTCGTTTTGCTCTCCAGATCCGTCACCATGTCTGTGTCACACAGTTCCAAGCTGAACAAGATGGTCAGGGACCAATACATGAGGCTGCCCCAAGGGGGCATGGTCCTGGTGACTTACATATGGATTGACGGTAGCGGAGAAGGAGTGCGCTGTAAAACTCGAACCATGGACCAGGAACCCAAGTGTATAGAAGGTAAAGCCGGGCCGGTTAGCTCTTTGGGGGCAGTCACCCTTTTGTGTCTGTAAATGGGGCAAAAAATGTAGAAGCCACAAATTTAGATGCAAGGCCTGTAATGCTAGCAACACTATACAAGTAGCTGCTGTAGTTTTGTCTGATCCGGCGCTGAGAGAACCCAAATGGATCTGTTTCCCTGTAGATTATAAATGAGTCGGGCTGCGGCTGCTATACAAGGCAGTATGGTAAATAGCCAGCCTTCATCAGGCTGTATATGTTGCTGTCCGTAATCTACCTCTGATGCTAGAGTGGTAAGGGGGCTGCCTTCTGGCCTCGAAGCGCGGGGCTCATTTCCAGTGGACACACAAAGCATGTTCACATGGGGTTCCAACGAAAGTGACTTGTAGGGGGGTTTGGCTAGGGGCTGTGGACACGGCCACAGGCCTGGAGGCCAGACCTCTCGTTTGGGGCATCTCCGTGGCTGGACTGGAGCTGTTGGCCCTGTCTGGCGTGTGTCACTAGAAATCGGTGAACTGTCAGAAGACTAAATCCGCTCTCTTGTGTGGACCAACGAAAGGGGAGCCGTGGCTGGATTGCTGTCTTCGTGGTCAGCGAGGGGAGTAGTGGCAGGAGCAGCGGGCTAGATTCCCTACAGGAGATTCAGTGGCTGCCTGGCTCTCCATTTAAAGCCATTTTCAGTGGCACGCCGTGGAATAGATCCTTGGGCTGTTACACACTGGAGCGGCTCACACAGATCAGTCAATGTGGTCCAGCTTAATCGTAGGGTTTTCCTTTTTCTCTCTCCCTAGACGTCCCAGAATGGAATTTCGATGGTTCCAGCACAGATCAAGCCGAAGGCTCCAACAGCGATATGTTCTTGGTACCGGTCAGCATGTTCCGAGACCCCTTCTGCCTGGACCCTAACAAGCTGGTCCTGTGTGAGGTCCTGAAATACAACCGCAAACCTGCAGGTGAGGTTCCTGTCGGGCTGTTACCAGAGCCCGTGCGCTACGGCCAGCGCTAGCATTTTAGGGCCTTGCTCTCAGACGTGAGGAACACCCACAGTGCCACATGAAGTCGGCAGGCAGTTGTGGGTGATCCTGTACTAACCAGTGACCTGAGTGGTATTTGCAGTGAAGCTGGGGCGTGCAGAAACCCTGGAGCTGGTGCTGGCTCTTGGTCTTTGCAATCAGAAACTTGGCAGTTAGGGCTTAAAAACACGGGAACGTTGGTGGATTTAAAGTGTGTGTATGAAAACCTGCCTGCCAGTGAGCAGAGCTCCGTGAAAGCGCCCAGAACCACAGCGCCACGCGGTACTCGCCCTTCCTCTTGCCTTGCGGCTGGAGGACTCCGTTGCTTCGAGAGAGGGAATCACATCTCGTGTTGCTTCTCTGACTTCCAGCTGTTTGACCTTCCCTCCTGGGAGATCTGCAGCCTTGCTCCTGGCCTGCAGCTGGGTCCAGGGACGTGTCAGGAGGACAGCAAGACTGGCCGGCGTGTCCCGGATGGTTGTGGAGAAGCTGCCTGATTCCCGACCTGGTCTAAGGCAGTAGCGTAGCCCGGGTGGGATATTTGGGTGGGCCTGAACTTCAGGTGGGTGGGCAGTTATGGGCGAGACCGTGGGGCAGCCTCCTCCCTCCCTGTCTAGCCAACTTTGTGGGGGGACTCGATGGGCCCTGGGCGCGCGCTCCGCTCTGGGAGAAGACGCCGCTCTCCAGAGCATGCGGCTCCTGGCTGCCGTCCGGGTCCCATGGCCCCGCACCAGGCCTAGCTCCCCAGGCAGTGCCTTTGTCTGAAGGTCTTTAGAGCTGCCAGCCACTCGCTTGCCTGCCCTCCTCCCCGTGGTGGATTAGCCACTGGGCCTACCGAAAAAGGAGCGAACCTGCTCCGCCCTCCTGTGCTTCTGGAGAGCAGGGCAGGAGCACCGAGGCCTGCTCCAGCCACCCCTCCATCCCCACCCGCACTCTACCCAGGGGGTGGGGATGGAGCACCGGGGGCTTGTCCTACTCATCCAGTCCTGGCGGGAGGTCCGGGTGGACAGAGCAGCACAACCCCCATACCCCGACCACTCTCCCTAGCAGGAGTGCCTAGTGGGCAGAGCAGAGCAAGCCTCACACCCTGACTCCAGGAGTGCTGGGCGGGCAGAGCTTCGACGCTAAGTGTGTGCTCCCCCTTCCTCCCCCCCCGGGGCTACCCCCCTGCTCTGAAGTGGTCTCGGATCACTGTGAGTGTGAGCGAGGTGCCGTTGTGTATGCGGACTCTCCTGACCCCTGTGAGGGCCAAAGGGGCACCCCAGGTCAGTCTGCAAAGCTCTCTTCGGGACAGGGCCAATTGGTTGTAAAGCCCCGACGACTGCAGCCCGTCGCTCCCGAGGGAAGTACCACGCTCTGAACCCCCACGTCTCACATTGGAATAACAACGTGCCGCTCGAGGTGCTGGGAGGCCCCGGCCGGCGACTCTACATTCGTGCTTCAAACAAGAGACTGGCAGCCATTGTTGCTCCCGCTTGCCTAGTACCAGCGAATGCCAGTCCCTGAACTGGGCAACGGCAGAGAAGTCCCAGTTAGGTGGCTAGAGGGTCTCGTTGCCCCTCCTCCACCCCCATGTAAGTTTTTATAAGGCTGCTCTTGGAGGGATAGCTCAGTGGTTTGAGCATTGGCCTGCTAAACCCAGGGTTGTGAGTTCAATCCTTGCAGAGGGGATTTGGGGCAAATATTTGTCGGGGTGGTAGTAGGCCCTGCTGTGAAGGCAGGGGACTGGACTCAATGACCTTTCAAGTCCCTTCCAGTTCTAGGAGCTAGGTGTCTCCATTCATTTAAAAGGAAAATATCACTGCTGCTTCCTCACGATTCACAAACCCTTGGAGTTTGTGTTGCACTTTTACCTACAGCTTCCAACTAAGACCTAAACGTTGATGCTACTTGTTGCCTGCCGGCTGCCATTTTCTGTCACAGGGAAGCCCTGGTGTTTCACGTCCTCCTCCCCTCCACCTGGATTCTTCCATCCCAGGCCTCTTGGCAAAGTCGGGGCTGTTCTGGTGGGTTGCTAAATGCTCCTGTGAGGGAGCAAACCCAAAGGATTAGTCCTGGCGCTCCGTCAGCTCTTGCAAACGATCGTCCGACTCAGATGCTTGCCCAGAACATGGGGGGCTTGGCAGAGCGCTCAGGAAAGCTTGGTCTGGGGCCGCGTCCGTAGGGTGGGAAGATGGATACAGGCCCCTCACCAGGAGGCTGTCTGTAAAATGGGGAGAATATTTGCCTGGTGGTCGTCTAAACCCAGGCAGGCTTGGCAGATGGGCGGATACTCTGGCTACGGGGTAGGGGAGACGGCGGAGCGGATGACTAGACGTTTGTGGATTTTTGTATCCGGTTTTGATGGCAAGAGGATTCCATTTACACTTGAAATATAAAGTTACACCCCTTTGAAATCCAGCCCCGCTGACTTTCCTTCCCTGCTGAAGCAGAAATCGTTCGCTTTGGGGCGAGGGGGGCAGTGGGTGTTTCCCTTTGATTTTTCCCACCTGCGAATGGGACAAATTTTCTCGTGTGCAGTGGCTGTCGCACGTCCCCTCCCCGTTGGTGCAAATAACACAATTCACATGGCGGTTGTGGGGCCAGGGGGCTCTGAGTGGAAGGAGGTTCGGAGCTGGGGCAGAAGGTGGGGGCTGGAAGGGGGTGCAGGATGGGGCCAAGTGCTGGGCTGGGAATTGGGGTACGAGCTCTGGGGAGTGGGCTTTGGGGTGCAAGAGGGGACTCCGGGCTGGAGGGGGCTCAGGCTTACGAAGCCTAGGGAGAAACGTAGGAGACAAGCTTATGTAACCAGTTACTTTCCTGCTGTGAGCACCTCATCGGTCAGCCTGGATGGATCAGCCTCTCGGGCCAGCTTTTCCCAGCAGGGCCTCGTCCTGTCTGAGGCACGTCTGTCGCCAGGCAAACCAGGACGCTGTCCTGGAGTCACACTGACGGCGGCTGCAGATTCCCGGCCCAGCGGCTGGCTGGGGGGAACCCTCTCTAGCGCAAGGGAGAGCGCCGGCTGGCCTCCCTGCTGTGAGGAATGCGGGCGCCGTGCCGGAGGGCTCTGGACCCCCCTTCGGTGTCAAGGGCTAACGCGGGAATTTCTCCTCTCCCCAGAAACCAACTTGCGGCGCACGTGTAAAAAAGTCATGGACTTGGTGACGGAGAGCCACCCTTGGTTTGGGATGGAGCAGGAGTACACGCTGCTGGGCGTCAACGGGCACCCCTATGGCTGGCCTGATAACGGGTTCCCAGGTCCCCAAGGTAAGAACGCGACTCTCCTCCCCCCGACTCATTCCCATGCTCCAGCTCTCCTGTAAGATGAGGACTGACATGGCGAGGCGCGGTTCCCTTTCACCGCCATGGCACTCACAGGCACTTGGCGCCTCCCGGGGTCGGTGCGGAGCCCTGTGCACAGTGATCCTGCACTGAGACCCGTGAGTGCACGGCGTCTTCTGCGGGAGGGTGTGGGTGTGTGTGTCTGTCCATGTCCGTACGTCCCCGGCAGGATCTACAGCCTCTGTTAACGCGCTGAGCGAAGCCAAGCAAGAAATCGCTCTCATCCCAAGGGGTGCTGGTGGGCGGATGAGCTTGGCCAGCCGAATGCAGTTTCGGCTGTGTGACGCGAGAGCCACACACCGCTCCTGACCGTGCCAATCCGGCGCCTCTCCCTGCTCACCCGACCCATTACTGCTCCGGGGCAAGCGGGTGCAGCTTTGTCCTGACACCTAAATTACAGGCAGCGGCGTGCCAAGCCGAGCAGCGTGCCAAGCCGAGCTGTGCGCTGCTGGCACACCTGTGCGTTGTGTGCCCCACGCTGGGGCGCCCCTCCCGACACTGCCTGAGATTGCACAAACTTTTCCATTCTCAAACTTGTTTGCCGAGGGTTTCGGAACTTGGCTGGGAAAAAGATCTCTGCAGGTGGCTGTAAATACAAAAGCCCAGCTGAGTGAAGGCTGGTCACTCAAGCAAATATTCCCCCTCCCCCCCCTCCCCCCCCGCCAACTGGTTCTTCTGCTCAGACAGGATTGTGCGGGGATAGTGGCGCTGGAGGGTTTTCGTTTCTTTAAGCTCCTCTGACCGGGGTTGATTCTCAGCGTCTCCGTGTTTTCCCCTCTGGGTTCGTACAGCAGCGCTACCTGCCCCCTTGGAAGGAGCAAAATCTGGCGGGTGGCTCTCCCCTTTTACCTTCCGACTTTGTTCTGCCGTTGCCTGTGTCCAGGGTAATAAAATCCACGGGAGCCTTAGTGGTCAGGACCGAGTTCCTCGTCATGGGGCAGCTCCTCGCTTGCCTTCTTCCTGCCACCCGCACTCCTGGGGGGGAGCCGCTGGCTTGTGTGGTCTCTGCTGGCACTTGAAGTCCTGAGGGATGGAGTAGCGGTGGCATAAATGAGGGGCATGGGGAGGGAAATTGGACACTTCATTCAAGTTTCCAGTGGCGTACTGGGGCACGGCAGGAGAGCCTGTGGCCCACAGCAGGGAGGGGCGGGGTCCTTTCTTGGGGCGGGGGCTGCCCACTCACAGAAATCAGTTCCACAAGTGGAAAAGCAAAAAAACCAAAACCCCTCACTGAGGTGGCCCCTGGCTGAGAGACTCCCCACCTTCCCCTCACGCACCAGAGCAGGGGGCCCGGCCTAGTAGTTTGTGTGCTCCAGCCCTGCTGTAAGGTAGCAGGGGGGGGTCTGTAGGCTCCCCTGTGTTTGGGGGGGGGGCTGGATCCAGGCAAGCTGGGGGCCGGATTTGGCCCCCGGGCCTGAGGTTCCCCACCCCACCCCAGAGTGCTGGGACTGAAT